TGAAATTTATAATTTGTGCATCCACAGTGCGATATGTTTTTACAGTTTGTACTCAATTAAATATTTGTACAGTTTACACTATAACTGTTCGTGTGGGTTGTGAAATTTATAATTTGTGCATCCACTGTGCAGTTGTGAAATTTATAATTTGTGCATCCACCGTGCATCGCACGGGTGAAAGACTAGTATACAATTAAATATCTAGAATTAACAAGGAGAAAATACATGAATTTAAAATTATAAAAATTATTTTAATGTATTTGGACATCAATATTGACAAGATGCGTTCCATATCTTTTAAAGAATGGAAAGATTGCAATAAATGGAAAATTATAGAAAATTAAATGTACAATTTGTGACTAAAATACGTGATTGTAAACCCACAAATTATATTTTTTTGAACGTGACCTTATGTGACTTGTGTTTAGTATTTGACCATGACCTGTTTAATTAATTTATATGTAGTAACCAGAGGACACAAAATGTGATAACTTGATTTTTGCAAAAAATTCACAAGTTTATTATTTTTGAAAATGTATTTTGAAACATTTGTATTTATATATTTTTCCTTTTAATGAATTACATGATTCTATATTTCATTGAGCACATCACATGGTGATACTTAGAGTGGTGTTCTAGCAAATCATGAATTACATGATTTTTATAGGATAGCTAAAGCAAGTATTTTTACAACAGACAATTTAATTTGAGTTTAGTAGTTTAATACGAGCAAAATTATTTTATTCAGAGAATGTGTAGTTCAAAATAAATTTAAAAAATATATGTGAATTTTTAGAGAATAAGAATGACAATCTCTCTCTTTTTTGAATTAAATTAGGGTGTGTTTGAGTCATATTATTTTGGAAGAATATATTTTGGAATAGTAGATTGATGGAGAATGTGTGGTTGAAAAAGAATGAAAAGTTATTGAAGTGATTAAAAATATTATTTTATTGAAAAATGTGTATTTAAAAATGAGTAGAAAAAAATGAAAATGAGAATTTTAATGTGGTTCAAACATAGGCTAAATAAATATAACCATCTTCCTTCCCACAAGATAATCTGCAACGGCCGCCAATGATATCTTTATTTGGGCCGAGGTGTCCAAAAAACAGTTGGGTTTTGGGCTGAAAAAAAAACTGGGCTTCATATTAATATCTTTTCATTTCACATTATATAATCCTAAACCCTAACCTAATTTTTCGAGGACAGAATACCTCTCATTTGAGTAAAATGGTGTAGCCTCCTCCCTTGTACTGCGATGCCAATTTTCTGTTTCTGTAATTTACATTTGAAACTTACTGTATTCTGCTTCTTGTTGTAGGCTCCAAAGAAGGGCGCAAAATTGCCGGCGGGAGTGGCTAA